ATAGGAACTCGTCGTGGCGTAGCTACACTGTATGGCTGTGCCCCATCCTTCAGGGTGATCTTCACCGGTTCACCTTTTAGTGTACCTAGACCCTGAAAAGCATAGACCTCATCAATGCGTTTAATTAGACCCAATTTAGTTGCCACCGTTCAGCTAAGGAGATTTTCTCCATTGCTCTTGACCACTGTTACACGAAAGCAGCAGTTTCGTAATTGTCCATCAACTTGGGCTCTGATTTTTGCTAAAAACTGCCCCCTTGTCCCTACCACACCACCTGGACTTTGCAAGGAGTTTCTCACTACACTGAGTTTTGGCTTGTTCTTTAGTGTTTCGTAGGTTGTCTCGGACATTACTGAAGTGTCAGCACCAGAATCGATTTTAAACGAGACAGGCGTATCTGCTAACATCAAAGTGGTGGTGGTTCATCCTCTGCTAGTAGCAGACTTATACATTGCTTCAGCTCAACAGATCCCAAAAACATGCAGTCATCCTCTTCAGCTTCTGTTACTTCCTGTATGGCCTTTGAATAGCATGCTACAGCGAAGTGTCCAGTTTTATTGCACTTCATACATTTTTTTCCTCTTGCAGGACATAGTCCATCATCGCCATGGTTACGTCCGCATTTTGTGCATGCCCCTTTTCTCAACTTTTTGATTTTTGCTGAGTTGCCAGTTCATTTGTGTTCCATCCTCTTCAGTTAGCAGGGAAGCGACTCTATACCTGCACTGAAAAAAAAAGATTTGTTGGATTTACTTGATTGTACATCGGTCCCACACAATGATAATGTGTAAAACCAACATAATTTTCTTTAGGGGTTGTTAAGATGTTAATTATTGAATACGCCTTTACTCATTGTATGAAACATGCTTTTGTTTTGAAGGACATTATTGTACATACTTCCGGTTATGTAAGAGAGCAAGAGAGTGTGAGGATCACTTCTTGAGAGAAGGAGCATAGAAGAGAGCTCTTATTATTATTTTCCAGACTGTTGCCATTTCAGAGCCCCATGTTAAGTTGTATGTTTGTTGTAACAAAATAAACACGCCGGAGAAGGCTAAGCGTTAACACAACGTCTCTTATTCTGAGCCAAAGGAGTGGACTGCGCACCCTGTCCAACAGGGGTTAACTTGTTTGAATTATGTTAACAGAGGAAATATGAATGAATTGCGTTGCATATAGTAGCATAATTTGTGTAAATCCAAAGACCCGGTGAGTCCTTTTTTTCAGTGCGAATCTCTGTTTCCAGTCCGGCCAAGACTCAGGCATGGAAAAGTCTAACTGCTCCAGCGGGGAGAACTTAGCCATGGCGATGCACCATTCGGTCCGTTCAAAACAAGAAAACACAGCTCACGTCCAAAAGCCTGGCCGCTGTACGGGTCTTTTACTTCTGACACCATGTGACGTTTATCTATGGTAGTAAATCACTCCGACAGTCAGGTCTGCGGTTAAAGATGGAACACTTTTTATTGGATACAACACAAGCAAAACAGGAAGTGCCTTGCTTCTTTCTGTCTAAAAACCCCGGGAGTCTGCCTGACGCACATGCGCAATAGAATAACTAAAATATATTCACTTCACGTGACAGCGTGAGCCCCCTCGACGCGACAGCCGCTGTTGTAGTCCATAGACATAAAATACATTATGTATATTATGTCTATGTTGTAGTCTGTCCCCGGTGGCCGCTTCCTGCTGTGACCACGTGACCGTCACGACCAATTGTCTTATGACGACGCCGCCATTGCCGCTGGGCAGTGTAGTCTTTTTTCTTCTTCTTCTTTCCTCTGCGGACGCTTGGTGCTATCGGAAGGACAGTGGGAGGGTTAATGTGAGACGTTTAGTGACACCCAAGCTGAATAAAGTGCAGTCCATTGTTGGTAGGAATCTCCCTCCTGCCACTCCTGAGAGGCTAGAGAGGACAAAAGGTACGAATTAGGCGCTTCTCCTCAGAGAGCCAAAGGCCAAAGGCAGCGAAGCTACCTTCATTTTTGTCAAGATTAGTGTGGTACACCTCAAAAACGGCATGACCACATTTGAATTATTAAATAACAGTTCTTCTGTATTTCATTTGAAGACGGCAATGCATCGTGTACACTGGAGGACCAGGTTAAGTTGCATATCAATGAATAGTTGGCGTCACAAGCCAAAGCAACATTGAGGTAGGAACCATTGTGAAGGCAGCAGTTGCGCAGGTGTATCTTATGGGTGAGGCCTTCCGCTCAGCTTCAGAGACAATTTGGAACGTGAACTGAGAGCCTCGTGTCCTCATTGTTGCTAAATATATCTGTGTTTTCCAGATCATTTGTTGCGACGTCGCCATTTTGGGACCCGTAACGCTAGTACTACTACTATAGTACCTTTTGTCATGTTCTCCTGTATACAGTATTACTTAATGGTGTTGTATAAAATAATATGCCCATTAAACCAAGAGAGTGCACACACAGCTTATTTCAATGCTTGAGCTTTTTAAATTTGTATAGGACAAGAAGTTTGCACTGCAGAAAAGTTGCTTTAAGCATTTTTCCAAAAACACTTTCAGTCGGCACAAGAGCTAAGAGAGAACTCAGCTCTTGCTCTCACTTGTTGTTTCCTTCCTTAAGTAGCATTACAGTGATGAAAAGAATTAAAGATTAAAAGTGATATAGGTGATATATGAGGCTAATGTGCAGGCAAACACCACTCTACACCAGTGTTTGTGCTGTTGAAAGTTTCTCTATCATCGTCATGTCAGCCTAGGAATCACAGGAGTTATTTGGCACAGACAGATGGACGCCTACTGGAACACTGCACATCATCCCAGCACTTGGCGCCTGTAAATACAGAAAACATGGGAGTCAGTCGGCGCTCGACTGACCACTGAGGTCACGTCACAGCATAGACAGACAAATAGCTCTTGGGGAAATAACATTGTTCTAACTAAATATCCTTGTGGGTTTGCAGATAAAATTTTGTCCGTATAATATCTGAATCATTAAGTTACTAGTCAGTGTAAAAAAACTATCAAGACAAACCTAATGTAAAAGTTTCCCATGTACTTTTGCTCATTAAAACTCAGTTATCCCTATTAGTTTCTCCAGGTGAATGAACTGATGTATTTTACCTGAAAAGTTCATTTGTATGCAACGCTGGTTGAGCCCAAGGTTGTTAGGTTCTTTAGGGCACCAGTTAAAATATCGCATAGATGTACCATCACTCCAGAGCCAAGAACGCCCCTAGAAAACATAACACAGTAGAATACTATTAGACTTTAATTTGAAGGTTTTTAAATTACTGTCAGACCTTGTGCAGTGTTTAATTACATACCCCATGTGCTTTATAGCCTCCAATCCATGTGATGTCATACGCATGAGTGATTCCCACTATGAGCTGCTGAATTGCATGGTACTCATTACTGCTGTGTACAGATGCGAGGTTTGCATGCATTGAGAGGCAGTTTTGCTACAGTAAAATAGAAATAGAGACAACAGAGTCACACAGAAGAGTAACAAAATATATAAACAAACTTAGTAAAAACGAGGGCACAGAAGGACGTGATAATTAACCAAGTGTGCATGTAAAGTCAGGCTGGATAAACACACCTCAGCTCTGGTCCAAGTCATAGGTGTTGGAACATATTTGAAACAGCGACCTCTGTATCTAGACCAACCCCAGGGGCAAGATGTTGACCTCTTGACAGCGTGACTCTGTCCTGAAGGAAACACAGAGGAGTGGGTAATGTTGAGTCCCTAGTTTAGTTCAGCATCTGATTGTATTTGAGGAACAACTCATAATTTAACACCGTGTGTGGATTCGGTCCTTCTGTTTGTTGACGGGAGAACATGCAGATAAAGTTTATTGTGTTTTAATGTAAATCTGGAAAATGACGCACTGATTGTGCTGGTCCAGTTTCTGACCTGAACATCTGGTCAGAGTGCACAGTTCAACCCAGTAGTTACTGACTTTGCTCATCTGCTCATTTCATTATGTGTATACTAATGTACTGTTCCTACTATGTGTCAGTGCACGCGGGCATTACTATAAATTTTACCGAGTAGAATTTTTGGCACTGTCCCAGGTTTGCCCACTGCATTAGGGAGATTTTCACAGTTTGCACTGCAGATAATTGTCATGAATTTTCTTCTTGTTATTACGTATACATAGACAAATGATCCCAACAGATATAAAGAAACATAGACTCACCTTCTGGAATAGTTTCCCCTGTTCCAAGTTCAACCTGGTCATTTAGAAGAGCTGGGTGGGCAGTTTGGACAGTAAATCTGTTAGTCTCTACAGTACCTGCTGCTGTTTATAGATTAGTTGTATGTCTAGTATCCAGATGTACACACAAATACTCACCAACAGCTCTGGTTAGAGCCAACATGGCACCAAAAACTGCAGATAGAGTCAGAATTTTCATGGTGATGACGTTAAAGGTCAGCTGTAAATAGAGAGACAGTCATGGTAGTAATACTTCTATTGTGCTCAGAAAACCCAGTGACAGTTAATTCATTAAACAAAGGACAGATGATGTTGAGAGTGCGTAATACACTTACTGCTGGACGATGTCTGTGTTAGCCTGTAGCGTCGATCTTCCCGCATTGAGGTACTGAACACAAGAAACAGCAGCTCTTATATACAGTTACAAAATCAGGAACCATGGACACACACGTTTACAATACACATAGAAACTCAGACAAACATATAGACTGACACGTGGCTCTTTATTTGATTGTTTTGGATCAGTTCCCAAGGTTGACACTGGAGCTTTATGAGTGTTTGCAGATAAAAATTCAGAAGAATCATAAAGACACCATCCATGGCAACTGTTTCTTTAACCTTAGTTTACAGAGTAGATTTTATTGCACCTTAAAACTCTGCAGCACATCTGCACCTGGGCATATTGACAGCTCCAGCAAAGCAGCTAAAGGGTGAAATTACACAAAAACACAGACACACTCATTCCTCTTGTGTCTAAGCATTGGTTTCAGCTGTAGGTGTCATTCATCCAGGCTTTAACCCTATAAAACCATTTGTATCATATTTGATACGTGAGGTTTCTGAGCAAAAAAATCACCCAAAATGCCCCATGTATCAAATGTGATACAAAAGAAATAGAAATAATCTAAATAATATGGCACCTCTACTCCTATATGCCTGGACTGCCTGTCTATGAATATATGGCAAATACAAATCGTGAATCTTGAATTTCAAATCATGAATTATATTTTGGATTTTGTTAAAAGGTTTAATAAACATCTCAGTTCCAAAAAATTAGAATGTTCTGGCTATTTTTTGATATGTTGGGCTTTACAGGGTTAAGATCTAAGATTTCTACTGCCAGAATTTTTTTAACACACTGATTTGTCATTAATGAATGACAATGGGAATAATTGCAGTGATATTGTGTAAATGAGAGGAGTATTTGTGTTAAGGGTTA